TCAGGAGGCTGAGGCAAGAGGACTGTTTTGAGTTTGAGTCTGAGGCCAGCCTGGGCAACATAGTAAGTTCCAGGTCAACCTGGGCTACTAGTGAGACCTTACTTCAAAAACCTATGAAGCAAGCAAGCAAGCAAACAAACCCTCCAAGATAGGACCAATCTAAAGTATTTCTGGATCTTTCCATATAATATCAAATTAAACAAAGCCTGTGTTTCATTTCATAACAGCAGTCGGCATGCCCTAGTAGCTCTTGTTCTCATAACCAATATAGCCAAGTGTTGCCTTGCTTAAGAGGGTCTGATATCTTTTTACACACACACACACACACACCCAGCTCTGAACCAGGGCCTCATGAATGCTGGTACTCTACCACTGAGGTACATCCCTAGCCTCTGAACCTCTCATTTTCTCCAAGCCATAAGTGGGGAACCTAAATCCAGATAGAGGCCTAAACACAGGTAATTAAAATTGACTTTCAGAGATGGCTCAGCAGTTAAGGGCACACTGGCTGTTTGGCAGACGACCTGGGTTTGTTCCCAGCACCAACATGGCAGCTCACAACCATCTGAAAATCCAGTTCCAGGAGCATTGCATGCATGTGGTACACTTACATAACACTCATACACATAAAAATAAGGCTGGATGTGCTCGCACACATTTAGTCCCAGCTCTTGGGAGGCAGAGGCAGGCAGATTATGAGATTAAGGCTAGTCTGCTCTAATAACAACTTCTAGGCCAGCTGGGGCTACAAGGAGACTCTTTCTCAAAAACCAACCCACCAACTAAACAAACAAACAACAAATAAATAAAAGTAAAACTGACTTTCTGAAGAGTTAACCAGAACATAAATAAGAAAGATTATAAGACCCTGTCTCAAAAGAACAACAAAAACAGAACAGTTTAATTATAAAGCAAAATGTCAACATTCCACATGGTGGTGTTTGAATTTGTGTATCCCCGCTAGATTATGCATTTCAAAAGGTGATGTCATAGCAGTCTCTGGCCCTAGCCCAGGTGGGAAGGCCTCTGAAGGAGATGGTGTCTGACAGCCAGATGGGAAAAGGGGAAGGTGGTGAATTTCCCACCCCACCCAGCCCCATGAGAGCCTGCCAATACACCTATTCAGTCCAGCTCAACAAACACATTTCCAGCTTCTATCATGTGAGGCATCTAGGCTGCAATAAAGATCCCTGCCTACCTCATACTCCTGTTTACCTAAAATGGCAAAGCTTAGCAGGGAATGAGGTGTACAAAGCGGTAAATCAGGCGATAAAAAGATCCTTCACCCCACCCCAGTGGATCAGCTGCTGGGCACGTGGACTTTGTCTTGCTCTCTGCTCTCTGTATGTAGCACCTGGCCTGGCACGGCAAGTGAAGAGTGATGCATTTGTCACCCAAAGGGGCTTCAAAGACAGAGCCAAGAGGAGCTCAGCTCTATGATCCTCTTTAATGGAGCCCTTCTTAACTTGCTCAGGTCAGCACCAAGGTCACAGCATATGAAAGTATGCACATAGTGTGTCTACTGTCCCTGTAGTTAGTAGCATCCTAGGTCCTGGCCACAGATGAGAGAGAAAAAGGAGAGAGAGAGAGAGAGAGAGAGAGAGAGAGAGAGAGAGAGAGAGAGCTGTGAGATGAGATCAAGAAGTCCCAGAAGCACTGAGTATCCTTCCTGGTCTCCTCCCACCCCCCCACCCACCCCCAGCTCAAAGTCAGGGTAGAAACAGCCCTCAAGGAACACTTCTGATTGGCTTGCCAGCCTGAGTCAGCAGAACTCTGCCAACCTCCACCAATCAAAAGAGACCTCAAAGGATCCAGCTCCAGCCTAAGTGAATTGCCCTCCTCCAGTACTCATCCCTCTCCCCAGCCAGCACCAGCAGGTGCAGCCCCTTATATGGGGGCTCTCTCTTCCTTCATCAAGATTTGAATGCCACAGTGAGGCATACATAGGGTGTCTGGGCCAGGGATCTGACTTGAGCCCATCTGCGGTATTTTGACCTCAGCTTAGGCAGCTCACTGCTTCTCAGCTTCCTGGTGGGTGGAACAAGGGCCCTCCTCTCACTGAGAGAAGCCACTGTAGGTCTAGCTGGATTTAGCATACTGGCAACAATGTGGCTTCCTAACCAAGGCCAGGGTTCCCATAGCTGGAGTCAGCACAGAGTCAACCATGTGAAATAGCCTAGCTTTAGGCTCTGCCAAACTTACCGCCTCTATGCTTCCCCCAATAATGGTGACTGAACCACTGAACCCAAGCCTTGTGCACAGAAGGCATCAGCCCAGCCCAGCCCTGCCCCACCCAGCCCAGCCCAGCCCCTACAGCTGCCCAGCTGCCTCCTTCTCTTCTCTTCTTTTTGAGACAGAATCTCATGTGGTCCAAGCTGGCCTCAAACCCACTATGTAGCTGAGGATGAGGTTGAATTCCTGATTCTCCTGCCTCCACCTCCCAAGTGCTGAGATTACAGACATGCACCACCAACACCACAACTCCATAACTGGCTTTTTGTGTGTGACAGACTCTCAGTATGTTACCCAGATGGCTTTGACTTCTGGTCTCAACCCTCTTGTCTCTGTCTCCCAGGCTAGGCATATATTTCCATGCCTGATCTGACTAGGGCTTCTGTTTAAATAAATGGGCAGAGGACAAGTTTCAGGAGTTTGTTTTCACCTTCCACTGTTTTGAGTCAGGGTAGCCTTTGTTGTTTCTGTGCTGTCTTGTTCCCCAGGTTAGCTTCCTGAGAGCTTCCTACTGATTGTCCTGTCTCTGCCTCCCATCTCTCTGTAGGAATGCTGGGATTACAGATGCCCACCACCACATTTGGCTTTTTTTTTTGAGACAGGGTCTCCCTGGATTCGCTATAGAGACCAGGCTGGCCTTGAACTCACAGAAATCTGCCTGCCTCTGCCTTCCAAGTGCTGGGATTAAAGGTGTGTGCCACCACGCCCGGCTGCATTTGGCTTTTTTATGTGGGTTTCAGTGACTAAACTCATCATCAGGCTTGTGAGGCAAGTGTTTTTACTTGATTATCTCTTCGGCCCTACATCCTCTTTTTAATACCCATGTTGATTCAGTGCTTACCATGCCCTTAAAATTTTTTAAATTATTTTTTTATTTTATGTATATGAGAGTACTGCCTACATGTATATAAGTGCACAAGGAGGTCGGGAGAGGGTGTTGGATTCTCTGGAACTGGAGTTATAGATGGTTGTTAGCTGCCATGTGGGTGCTGGGAATTGAACCCCAGCCTTCCGTGAGAGCAGTCAGTGCTCTTAACTGCTGAACCAGCTCTCCAACCCCATTACCATGTCCTTTTAAACTCTTCATATGCAACCTCTCATTTTGCAATAGAGACCCTCTGAGGGGAAACAGGCTCAGAGAGATTCACTTGTCCAAGGTTACATAACTGGGAGGTAGAAGAGTCAAGATTTGAACTGAGGTCTGTCTGAGACCAGAGTCCAAACTCCCAACCTTTGTGATATTCTGCCTGGCCCTCTGCAGCGCTTGGTCTTTTGTGCTGATCACGGAAGGCCAGAGCCCAGGGGAAGTCAGTCAGTCCTATAGTGCCTAACACAATATCTGGCAGTAGTGTGTGCTAAGAGTGGATGGATGAATGGGTGCAGGCACCTGTGCATGCAAATCCTGCCCTTAGCATTGGCCCAGCTCTGGCTGGAAGCTCTCTGCAGCCCAGGGAGGTGCCCCAGGGCAAGGAGGCAGATGTCAATCCTCATGCCCCCAACTTCTAAAAATATAGAGGAGCATAAGCCTGGCCTGGTCATCACACATCTCTCCAGTTGCGCCTTGTATTGTCCCTGTCTGTCTGCCACCCAGCACCTGCTCCCTTGGGCCTCTTGCTTGACAGCTGGTCCTGTCACCCCATGACTTTTCTGTAAGGCCAAATCCAAGTAAGAGAGAACTCTTGAACATCCAGCCCAGTGGGTCTCCAAGCTGACTGTGGGATCCCGAGGCAGGTTTGGGGCTTCCATGTCAAAACCAGGCCTTTTCTTTTCCCATGTATGGATCCTGCTAGCTTTTTTAGGAGTTTGAGGCCTAGCTTGTTTGAGGGATGTGGACATCCAGGGTCAGGACACTGGAGCTGGGACTCAGCACAACCCCTTGGTTGCCATGTGACTTGGGACTTTTGTTAGTCACCTGCTAAAAAGGGGATAATAAGATTACAAAATAGGGACTGGAGAGATGGCTCAGTGGTTAAGAGAACTGATTGTTCTTTCAGAGGACCTGGGTTTGGTTTCCAGCACCCACATGTCAGCTAACAACCATCTATAACTCCAGTTCTAGGGGATCCAACACTCTCTTCTAACCTTCTAACTTCTGCAGGCATTGCACAACATTGGTGCACTTAGATACACATAGACATACATAAAATAAAAATAATAAATAAGCTGGGTGTGGTGGCACATGTCTTTAATCCCACTACTCAGGAGGCGGAGGCAGGCAGATCTCTGTGAGTTCGATTCGAGGCCAGCCTGGTCTACATAGTGAGTTCCAAAAAAAAAAAAAGATTACAAAATAGTGAAATAGTGATGATATCCTCTATTTTTTTAAAAAAATATAAGTGCTGGGCATGGTGGTGCATGCCTGTAGTCCCAGCACTTGGGAAGCAGAGGCAGGATGGATCTCTGTGAGTTCAAGACCAGCCTGGTCTACTTATAGACATGGATAAATTCGATAGCATACGGATTGAAATATAACAATATCATCTCTAGGCCATGCCTAAGAGGGAGTCAAAACCAGGCTGTCTCTGTTCCCATGCATGTATCCTGCTAGTCATTTTTACAAGTTTGAGCCCTAGCCTGTTTGAGGGATGTGAACATCCAGGGTCAGGACCCTCTTTTGCTTTCTCTATTTTTCTTTGTTTATTGATTGATACTGAGGATTATATCCAGGACCTTGTGAATACTTGGGCACATGCTCTGCCCACCTCCCATATTGTATTATTATTGTTATTCATTATTTAAGACCGGGTCTCACTATGTATATTATATAGTTACTGTGACCAAATACCTGAGAAGCAACTTAAAGAGGACTACAGTTCTGGAACACTCCGTCATGGCAGAGGAAGGCATAGGAACATGGCGCAGCTGGTCATGTTCAGAAAGCAGAGAGAGATGGATGCTGGTACTCGTTTGCTTTCTTCTTTTAATTCAGTCTGGGATCCCAACCCATGGGATGGTGCTGCCTATATTTGAGGTAGGTCTTTCCCACTCAGTCAAATCTTTCTGAAAGTACAATCACAGACTTGGTGGGGGTTTCCATGATAACTCTAAATCCAGTCAAGTTGATGATAATCAATACACATGTATTCTGGTTCTTCTTCAATGATTTGTTTGTTTATGTATTTATTTATTTATATGTGGGTGTGGAAGTCACAGGACAACTTTTGGGAGCTGATTCTCTCCATCATGTCAGTTCTGGGGACTGAACTCAGGTTGTCAATCTTGGCAAAGGTATCTTTTTATTCACTGAGTCATCTCGCCAGCCTGAGGTTGGATTGTTTTTGTTTGTTTTTGTTTTTGTTTTCTTTTTCAAGTATTAAAAAAGCCAGACGTTGGACTGGTGATGCATAGTACATGGATAGATTACTTATCTAGTAGATTCGAGGCCCTTGGTTCAATCTCTAGTATTGCAGAAACCTAAGCCAGGCATGGTAGTGCACACCTGTAATTTCAGCACTTTTGAGGCTGAGACAGGAAGATTACCAGTTTGAGGCCAGCTTGGAAAAAGATCCTGTCTGAAAACAAACAAAACTATAGCTGGGCATGGTGGCACATGCCTTTAGTCCCAGCATCCCAGCACTTGGGAGGCAGAGGCAGACAGATCTCTGTGAGTTCAAGGTCAGCCTGGTCTACATAGTGAGTTCCAGGCCAGCTGGGGCCACAGGGAGACCCTGTCTCAAAAAGACCAAAAAACAAAACAAACAAACAAAAAAACCACCCAAACAAAAAACTCCAACTCGAATCGCCACACCTTTAATCTCAGTACTTGGAAGGCAAAGGCAGGCAGATGTCTGTGAGATCCAGGCCAGCCTCGTGTACACAGCAAGTTCCAGGCCAGCTGTGGCTACAGGGAGACTCTGTCTCAAAAAGGCAACAACAACAACAACAACAGCAACTCAACCCTCTAAGGACACATGCACAAGACCCAGGTTCCATATCCAGCACCACCAAAAAAAAAGCTCAGATGATGACCACCTCACAATTAACATTTAAGTATTTGTTTTGATGCATAGGGCAATTTGAGAATGTTTATGAAAATGACAAACTGCACTTTGCAAGTAGAAGGGATTCTTGGTTTTGTTTTATTTTGTTTTGGATAGGGTCTTACTATATAGCCCAGGCTGGCCTCAAACTGGTAATCTTTCTGCTTCTGCATGTCTAGTGCTAGGATCACCGGCCTAGGATCATGTGCCTTCATGCTTGGCTGGAAGAGGTTCTTAATGTAACCACCCCCCTACCCAACCCACCCAAGGGCATTTTGAAGCTACAGGGATAGGTAGAGAGTAGTTTCCTCATGGTTCTACACCTGGGGCCCCTATAAGTGAACAGGAACTCTGGTTTCAGTGCCAGTGATGCCTGCTGAGGGGGAGGGTCTGGGCGTAGGGTGTCCACAGCTGGCCTGCTCTGGGGGTGAACCGGCAGCACTTAGTGAGCTCCCCTGTGTTCCAGGTCTTGTACTTGACTCTCAGGAGGTAGCTATCTGCTTTGCAGCCAGCCAACAAACATTCCTTAAGTACCTCTTATTTGGGAGTCAGAGTGCAGAGGGCACAGTATGGAGAGAAGTAAGGCAGAGGGGTTTGTGGTTCACTTTGGTGGGGACCATGTGAGAGGCACAGATACAGTGGGAAAGCAGGAGTACCTCCCATCTGGGGTCCCAAAAGAGATGCCTGGGATCGTGAAGGACAAGCAGAGTCTTTGAGTATGACAACACAGGAACCAGTTCCCTGGCAGGAAGCCTGGTGGACATTATGGAAAATGTTCTAAGTAGGCACTAATATAAGCCACAATAATTTGTGGGGCCTACTATAAAATGAACTTGTGGGACTCACTATGTAGCCCAGGCTGACCTCAAATTTGCTATCTTCCTGCCTCTACATCCTGAGTACTGCAGTTACAAGTATGTGCCACCACACCTGGCTTCAATAATAATAATAATAATTTTAAAAATTATTTGTTATTTTTATTTTATGTGTATGAGTGTATTGCCTGCATGTGCATAGGTGCACCTGCATCATGCAAGGAGGTCAGAAGAGGGTGTTGGATTCCCCTAGAATTGGAGTTATGGACGGTTGCTAACCACTATGTGAATGCTGGGAATTGAACCCAGGTCCTCTGGAGGAGCAACCAGTGCGCTTAACCACTGAGCCATATTTCCAGCCCTAATAATAATTTTTTTTGAAAGGAGATCTGTTTGTTGCTGAGGAGGCCCTTGAACTCCTGGACTCAAGTGATCCTCTTGGCACAGCCTCTTATGGTACCTGGAACTACAGGCATGTGCCATTGTACCTGGCTAAAACCAATAAGTGTCACTGCATAAAAATTAAAGCTACTTGAATGCAAGGTATTACTAGCAGCACATACCCCAAAGGTACTTGTTTCAGGGCAAACACTGTGGACCATTAGTTCATTTCATTCTCATTATAATCCTATGAGGGGCTGAGGAGATAACTCAGTGGTTAGAGCAATCCTTGTATAAGCAAGAGGAACTGAGTTCGAATCAGGACCCACATAAAAAAGCTCGCCATGGTTTCTTGTGCCTGTAACCTGGGGGACAGAGACAGGCTCACTAGCCAGCCAGTCTATCTGAAAGAGCAAATTTCTGAAGCTTCAGTGAGAGGCTCTGTTTCAAGGTAGTAAGATGGTGAGCCATAAAGGAAGACACCCAACATCCTCTTCTGGCCTCTGCTTGTGTGTGCACAGACATATATGCATCACAAACACACAACATACAACACACATAGATACACACAAACACAAAACCCCAAAATACATCCCATAAAGTATGTACTACTCCTCGTCCTCAGTTTGTAGACAAGGGTCAGTCCTCTGGAAAGTTGGAGATGAAACCAGGTTACCAAATAGTTTGCCATCTGGTCTCTTCTGGCTGTGCCCCATGCTGCCACCACTATAAAACTCAGAAAACTGGCTGGGGTGTCACTCAGGGCCACAGCATGTGCTAAGCTTGTGGAGGCCCTGGGTTCCATACCCAGCACTCCAACCCCAAGGAGACAGTGGCAAATGGGAACACATTGCAGCACACAGGCCAAAGGACTGTTTTCCTTGATATTTGGAGAGGTCTTAAAAGAGTCCAGTAAAGGGCCTGGAGAAATGGCTCAGCAGTTAAGAGCACTGGTTGCTCTTGCACAGGACCTGGATTTGATTCCCAGCACCTACATGGTAGCTAACAACTGTTTGTAACTCCAGTTCCAGGGGAATCCAACGCCCTCTTCTGTCCTCCTTGGGCATTCCACAACCTACCTACATGCAGGCAATACACTCATATACATCAAATAAAAATAATAAATACATTTTTTAAATGTTTTATTATTTTTATTTTATGTGTACGAGTGTATTGCCTGCATGTATGTGAGTGCACCTGTGTCATGCAATGCCACGGAGGTCAGAAGAGGGCTTTGGATTCCCCTGGAACTGGAGTTAAGGACAGTTCATAGCCACCATGTGGGTGCTGGGAATTGAACCCAGGTCCTCTGCAAGAGCAGTCAGTGCTCTTAACCCCTGAGCTAACTCTCCAGCCTGATAAAATGTTTTTAAAAAAGAGTCCAATAAAAAGAATAGAGAATATAAAAACATGAACTTCCAAAGAAGCATCATGTATATGTGTGTGTGTGTGTGTGTGTGTGTGTGTGTGTATGTGTTCTATTCAGCTGGCAGAAATCACAGGACTAATAATAGTGTTGGTGAATCTGTGACTAAACAAGCACTTTTGCACACTTCACAGAAATGTACCAATGTGCACCAGGGCAATGTGCACACATATACACATACACAAATGAATAAATAAAATAAATAAAAATTTTCCTGCTTTATCCTCCTGAGTGCTGGGATTATAGGTGTGAGCCCCACACTTGGTGATAACCTGTCTAAAAAGAAAAAGGACAAAAAGATCCCCCTGAATGCGGTATAAACACAGGAAGATATTTAAAATATATTTACTGGGAAAAAGACCTTGAATTTGTGATCCTCTGGCCTTAGCCTCCTGGATAGATATACGGGCCTGTGCTACCTTTTAGCACTTTAGAAGGAGCACAATAGCAACAATACAGAAGGTGGACTGGGGATGCGAGAGTTGGAGTCCAGGCAACCATGTTGGGGGTGTGAGACCCAGCACAGGTGGTGAATATGAACATGAGGCTATCCACAGAGAGGTCAAAGAAGCAGAATGGCCGAAAAGTGAATCATTGGATACTGAGGGTGTGGGGAAGGGAGGGTAGAAGAGCAATACCATACCAATTCTGGGTAAGAGACAACCCCATTATGTTTCAGGATGGAGTGTCACCCTCATTCTGCAAGCCAATAGGATCCAATTTAGGAACAACTTTCCAGGAATGTGGCCTTCGTGTAAAGTGAGGGCACATTCGGTAACCTTCTGGACGCATTTACCAGATACTGATTACGACAGTCTGCTGGCCCCAGGCCTGGAGAAGTCTGCCAGAGCCACAGTCCCTTATGACGGACTCTCTTGGCTGAACAGGGCCCAGGATGATACCATTTACCATCGAGACTATAGGGAGGTGGGAGAAGAGGAAAGATGGTGGCAAGTGACCCTTCAAAGTGGGGCAATGGGCTCTTGGTTGTCTGTACCTGTCTCTTGATCCAGGACTGTGAGGGCCCCCCCTACCCATTGTTTTGGTGAACCAGCAATGCAGGCAGCTATAGGTCTGGCAGGGTACAGGGCCCAGCCCTTAGCTAGGTTCTAGTAGGGCTGTACCCAGTGTCACGGCTCCCTTTATCATCTCTCGCCTCCTGCCTACTGACAGCCCTCGGACAGGCAAAAATAGCCCTGTCATCCTTACATGCCCACTTTGTACACATCAACAACCTGAGGTTACAGATTGTCTTGGCACAAGGCCTGTCTTTTTCCTTAGCCGTAACAGCTAAAACCCCACTGTCCGGGGCTGAATACTGACTCCTCTTTCATCTTGGCCAGAGAGTTGGAGGCAAATTGGATCACAGAAGTTTCTGGAATGGCAGAGCTACAGGAAAACCAGAGACCATCATAAAACCAGAGACCTTTTGGCTGAGCCCTGAGTCCCAGGAGGGACAGTGTCTGGTGTGTACAGACGTCACTGAGGGAGCAGCAGGGCGTCACCGGCCTGGCTTCGCTCCCTCAGCCCAGCTTATCTTAACATGCAGCCAGCCTGTAGCTTTGTGGGAGCTGCTTCCAAGGGGTTTCTCCAGGCCTGGCCTCATTCTAACAGGAAAGCCTTTGGAAAGACTGGACTGGCTGGTGGCAGGTGCATCATGAGAAATAACTAGTCAGCTCCAAGCAAAGAGCCTGGCCTGTTTTTTAGCAGCAACCCCTGCTTCCCCTGCCTGTTCAGCTCCTTAAACCTGAAGGCCTAGCGTTGCGCCTGCTGGCCTGGAACTCACTATGTAGACCTGGCTGGCTTTGAACTCACAGAGATCTTACCTGCCTCTGCCTCCAGAGTGCTGGGATTAAAGGTGTGCACCACTATACCCAACTCCTTGTTTGCATTCTTGATGAACTTTCAGTTAATCTGTAACCAGTAAAAACTGTGGAGTTTGAAATCAGAATGGGTTCAAACCCATCTCTACTACGTGCTAGGCAAGTTAAGCTGTCCAATCCTCAGCTGCGAAGTGGGGAAGAATAACAGACTGTCCTTCACTGGGCTGCTCTGACAATAGAGATACTGAATGTGAAACAATGCAGGGTCTGCTGGGTAATGGCAGGGCATGTGTGGCAAGGTGTCACCATAGCTCAAGGGATACACAGCTGACCTGTTCCTGTGGTACTAGAGCTGGAACTCAGGGCTGTCGGCTGCTAGGCAAATGCTCTACCGCTGAGCTACTGCTCTAGTCCTGTTTTGGATTTAAGACAGTCTCACTAAACCTTCCAGGATGGCCTCAAATTTGCAAGGCTCCTGCCTTGGTCTTCCTAGTAGCTGGGATTACAGGAGACACCACCACACCTAGCTGTCCTGACACATTGTCAGGAATATCCAACAAAATGATGTTGAGCAAACGGACAGTGATGTGAGATATTCTGAAAGAGAATAACTGGGCCCTGGGCACAGCTTTTCAGGAAGGTAGCACTTGCTGGGCCATAGTGATCTGTTCTTGGTTTTGTTATTAATATCTTCTATCTGCCTGCCTGCTTTGCTTTGTTTGAGATGTGGGGGCAGGGGAGTCTTACTATGTTGCTTAGGCTGGCCTCAAACTTTTCTGCTCAAGAGTTTCTCCTGCTTCTGTCTCCCAAGTAGCTTGGATTAGAAGCCTGTAGTACTGGGGTCCTGCTAGGTCCTTGTTTATTTGTTTGTTTGTTTTAATAATCTATTATTATTTTTATGTGTATGCTTGCATGCGATAGGTACACCCATGTCATGCAATGCCTGAGGAGGTCAGAAGAGGGCGTTGGATCCCATGGAACTGGAATTACAGACGGTTGTTAGCTGCCATGTGGGTGCTGGGAATTGAACCCAGGTCCTCTGCAAGGGCAGCCAGTGCACTTAATTGCTGAGCCATCCCTCCAGCCCCAGGTCCTTGGTTTTGAGCTCTGAAAAAATTAAATTTGAGCCAGATGTGGAGGCACCTGCTTTTAATCCTAGCACTTGGGAGGCTGAGGCAGGAGGATTATGAATTTGATGTTAGCCTGGGCTGCATAGCAAAGCTTTCCTTCAACAAAATAAAATAAAACAAATAGAGAAATGATAAACAGTAGAGAGCAAGTTTGGTTTTCCCTCTCTCCCTTCTTTTTATTTTTTATTTATTTTCCTTTTCTTTTATTTAATATTTTTATTTTATGTGTATGAGTGTATTACCTGAATGTATGTGAGTATACCCGTGTCATGCAATGCCTTGGAGGTCAGAAGAGGGTGCCGGATTCCCCTGGAACTGGAGTTAAGGACGGTTCATAGCCACCATGTGGGTGCTGGGAATCAAACCTGGTTCCTCTGCAAAAGTAGTCAGTGCTCTTAACCACTGAGCCATCTCTCCAGCCCCCCTTCTGTTTTTGTGTATGAGTGTTTGCCTGCATGTAAGTGTACCTGTGTTATGCAGTGCCCATGGAGGCCAGAAGAGGGCGCTGGGTTTCCTAGAACTGAAGTTATAGATGGTTGTTAGCCACCACGTCAGTGCTGGGAACCAAACTTTGGCTCTCTGCATGGGTAGCCAGTGCTCTTAACCACTGAGCCATCTTTCCAGACCCTCCCTTTCTCTCTTACCATGTAAACACACTCTTCCTCTCTCCCTCTGTGTGTTCTGCCGCATGGTACCATCTGCCCTGTATCCTGCACCACACGGTGTACCAGTGCTTCGCCTTTACATATTCACAACTTGTAGTTAAATAAATATCTTATCTTTCTTTCTTTGTTGTTTTAGTTTTGAGACGGGGTCTCATACAGCAGAGGCTGGATTCAGAATGATTAAATAGTCAGGCTGGCCTTGAATTCCTGACCCTCCTGCTTCTGTTTCCAAAGTTCTGGGATTAGAGGCATTCATCATTACTCCAAGCAATGCCTTTACATATTCACAACTTGTAATTAAATAAATATCTTATCTTTCTTTCTTTGTTGTTTTAGTTTTGAGACGGGGTCTCATACAGCAGAGGCTGGATTCAGAATGATTAAATAGTCAGGCTGGCCTTGAATTCCTGACCCTCCTGCTTCTGTTTCCAAAGTTCTGGGATTAGAGGCATTCATCATTACTCCAAGCAATCAAATTTCTTTATAAAGCACCTATTTCCAGGCATTCTGTTACAGTAACACAAAACAAACTATGACACCATATCTCTCTACTATAAAATTACTTTCCTATCCACACTCTGCTTTAGGGAAGTTCAGTCCACACTAAAGAGGGGCGAAGACTTTGAAAAATAACATTATCCACACTGTTATTGCTCCTAAAAATATTCTCAGCAATGGCCTAATATGATCACACATGTAGTCAGTGGTAATCTCTCCATTTGCTCACACTACAGATTGTCAACATGTCCCAGTGTCCCTGCCTTGCAATATATTTGTTGCACAAGCCAAGTCACTTGGCCTGTGGAGTCACTGACTGTGTCGTACCCACCTGCAAGGTGACCTCCTGTGATGTCCTCTCCCACACAGAGTCAGGTCCATCTGCTCAACCAACAGGAATGTCATATTTCTGGTGCTGTGTGGTTTCCAGAGCAGGGTCACAGAAGACATAGTTTCCGGTTTTTGCTGTCTTTTGAATTACTTGCTCTGGGAGGAGCCGGCTGCCCTGTCATCAATCTAGAAGCATAACTGACTGCCTAGCAGCTAGCCATTCGCATGAGTTTTGTTTTGTGTTTTTGTTTGTTTGTTTTAGATGGAGTCCTGTTCTGTCATCCATGCTGCCCAAATTCCTGGGTGCCAACAATCCCCCCTGCTTCAGGAATGACTGAGACTACAAGTGTGTACCACCACTCCAGGTTTCAGTGAGCAGTCACGAAAGTGAACCCCCCCAGCTGCAGCCCAGCTTGTGAATGGTGTAGGCCTGACTAATATTCTGAATATAATCCCATGGGCCTCCAGCCACTCCTCAATTTCTTTTTTCAAATTGATTTATTATTTTTATGTGTATGAGTGTATTGTCTGTATGGAGGTAAGTGTACTGATACAGAGGTCAGAAGAGGACGCCAGATACCCTAGAACTGGTGTTATGGACAATTGTTAGCGGTCATGTGGGTGCTGGGAACTAAACCTGGGTCCTTTGCAAGAGCAGCCAGTGCTGTTAACTGCTGAGCCATCTCTCCAGTCCCCACTCCTCAATTTCTAACCCACAGCTCACCCGTCCTCTGCCCCTGCACTGCCTATGGTTGGCGGTTAGAGCCAGAGCTTCATTCAGACTCTGGGTTAATTTGGAGGAGGGGCACTTCACCAGCACATCAGTCAGGATGTTCAAAACATCTGTCTCTGGCTGTCTCTAGGCTTCGGATGATCCTGAAGAGTCTTTATTTGACCTCTTGCTAAAGGTCACTGAATATACAGCTCTCCATTACAGGTATTTTCCTCTGAGCATAAAACACTACGGTGCTGTTATCAGCCTACAGCTTTGCAGTTGATAAGGTACTTTCCCCAGCTGATTTTGGAATCTGTTTATGATGTTCCTGTCTTTACTACATTGTACTTAGGTATGGGTTTTCTCCTCCTCCTTTTACTTCCCCTCCTTTTTGTGTGTGTATAGTATATGGATGCATTCACGTGGGTGTGTGCATGGGTGAGGGAAGATGGATGTAGAGGGTCAGTTGAGTGCCTTATTTGATCGTTTTCCAGCTTAAAAAAATATTTTATTAAGCCGGGCATTATGGCACAGGCCTTTAATCCCAGCACTTGGAAGGCAGAGGTAGGTAGATCTTTGTGAGTTCAAGGCCAGCCTGGCCTACATATTGAGTTCCAGGCCAGCTGGGGCTACAGGGAAACCCTGTTTCAAAAAGACAAAACAATTTTATTTTTATTTTATGTCTATGAGTATATTACCTGCACGTATGTAAGTACACCACATGTGCAATACCTGTAGAGGCCAGAAGAAGGTGTCAGATCCCCGGGGACTGGAGTTACAGTCAGTTTTTAACTGCCATGTGGATGCAGCAAGTGATCTTAACTGAGCCATCTCCCCAGCACCCCTATCATTTTTTTTTCTTTTTTTTTTTTTCAGTCTTTCATGACCTGGATTTCACCAATTGGCTAGACCACTGGCTAGCGAGCTTCAAGGATCTGCCTGCCTCTACCCCTCCCAATGCTGAGGTTACACATGTGTGCCACTGTACCCAGCTTTTACATGGGTGCTGGGATCCCAACTTAGGTCCCCATGCTTATGTGGCAGGCACTTTACTGACTTAGCCATCTCCCTGGCCCCTCTCACCTTTCCTCCTTTGCAGTTATGCTTGGGATTTCTTGTTTGTCTGAATCTGGTACATTTCATAAGTTCTGAAAATGTTCAGTATTAGGTGTTCAAATACTGCCTCTCTGTTATCTCTTTGTAGAACTCTGGATAGACATTAATTTGATTTTCTTAGTCTAAAATTCAATTTATAGCCCAGGCTGACCTTGAAATCCTCCTGTCTCAGCCTCTCAAGTGCTGGGATTGCAGACATGAGCCACTACGACTGGCTCCTCCCCACAATTCGGGACTGAATTGTGCATACTCGGCATGTGCCCTATTGAATCCAGAATCTTGGGCATGATAGGCATGTGTCCTACCATTGACCTATATCCCAAGCCCTGTTTTTCTGTTTTTCTTTTTTCCCTTTGAGACAGGGTCTCATTAAGTTGCTTAGGCTGTTTTTGAACTCACCTTTAGCCCAAGTTGGCTTTGAAGCTGTCATCCTCCAGCTGGGATTATAGGCCTTCACCTCTTGGCCTATTTTCTTCTCTTCATTCATCCTTTCAATCACTTATTTTATTATTTTTATTATTATTATTATTATTATTATTATTATTATTATTATTTTGTCTTTTTTA